ATTATCTTACACTATATTTTTTATTATTACTAAAGGATTTATATGCCATTGGTGAGTGTGGCTGGGAAAAAAAGGAGGAAAACAGAAAAGAAAGAAAACGGGGGAAGAAGAAGAGGGAACAAGAGAGAGTAGGATGGCCTAATGAGAAATGGAAGAAAGGAAGGGAAAGGAGAGGAGAGGGGGGGGGGACACATGTTGATCTGTGCAAACCTTCGGACCCGACTCATTCTGCCAATTTTCTGGCCATTTTCCGCCATTCTTCTGGTGAATCACGTCACCTAACCACTGGGAAAACATTCCCCATTGTTCCCTCTACCTATTACACCCAAAAGGGAAGATGTTTAGCTTTGATTTCGTAGAATCCAAACTGTAAGGAGCGACGACACCGTGACTCCAATCCACCAAACCTGAAATGTTTTCATGCAAGTAACACCACCAATAGACTTCCCTTGAGGCCTAGAACAATGCCCAATCCTCGGTTGGAGTCAAATTGAGGACGAATCAAGAACACCCATTTCTAGGGTTCCGGCGAGTTCGAGGCAAATTGGAGCCCTTCTAGGCCAAATTGGACCTAGCTATAGGTATGAAGTTTGCTTTACTCTTTGAGATCTTCATTTCTGTAATTTTTGAGAATTTTTAAAAATAGTTGAGTTTTTCCGGCAAGCCGGGGCGGCCGTCCGCCACCCATGGTGGTTGGTATGATGGCGCACAGACAGGAAGCCGAAATTATGTTTTTATGCAAACTTGTTATTCTAATTATGCTTTTGAGACCTAATTGTTGTGGTTTGAATATTAATACGATTGTAGTATATGTTGGATTAAATGAATATATTCAGATTTGGTTTGAATTCTGGATATGTGAACTACGAATGGCTTGATCCCTGTTTAGAGTACGTAGGAAGTCTAACGAGATGTTAGATGTAGCCATACAATATTTGTGACAAAAGCCTTGTTTGGGAAATTGAGCATTGTGAAGGAATTTGTGAAAATGTGAGTTTTAACTTTATGATTTGGTGGTTAAATGTGGTCATAAAATAGTGTGTGAGGAATAGAGAAATTGAAGTAAGGAATTGTAAGTATTGATAGTTAGTTAAGCTAGTGTTTAGTTGGGCTTGTCATCGATAATTATTCCCGAAAATAAATAGTTCGAGAGTAGGGCGTTATAGATTGTGCATTTTACGCCACATTATATATGGTTAAGTTTTGGATTGCATCATGGCATATCCATAGGTATATTACTGCGCATAATTATTGTCAATGCTTTGAAGTACGAAGGTGAACGCAGGACGCACAGGTAAGTTCAGGTGAGTATATGTTGTGAAATGTGAGATGCATGGTTATGATTACAATTTATTTGAAATGATTGAGTTATGGCATGACTATATTTATGTTTTAAGCAACTCCAACATCGTCGTACAGGTTGCAATGATAGGCAACTCCGACCTTGTCGTACAAGTTGCAATGATAGGCAACTTTGACATTGTTGTACAGGTTGCTTGTGAGTCGTACATGCCATATTAGATGCATTTAGAGCTCTTAAACTTGCACCCCGGTGTTAGTGCTTTTGTTCATGGCCTGGGCACAGTCCTTCATGTGATGTTCACCTCCCGCACCTTAAGCTTACCTTGAATCCAAGGTAGGTGCACAAGCCTGTCGTACATACCACATTAGGTGGTTCCGACTTGTAGGTGACCCCGCGATTATTCGCTAGTCTTCACGTGATCGTAGCACTTGAGCGTACTTATTTACACCTAGTCCTGTTGTACAACCCACTAAAGGTGGTTCCGACTTGTGTGTAGGGATATTTGATGAGCTATAGGTTCAGTCATACAGGTCACTATAGGTGACTTCGACTTACGTGCTAGCATTGATTGATGAGATATGAGTGAGTTGTACAGGTCACTACAGGTGACTCCGACTTACGTGCTAGCATTGATTGATGAGATATGGGTGAGTCGTACAGGTATAGGTTACTTCGACTTACGAACTAACATGAATTATTAAGCACCTGATTATTTATATTGTTGATGAGATGCTGTATCGTGGTATACTTCTGGATTTACTAATAGTATACAATTGATTTCATCTTTATACCTAGTATGATTTTCTAGGAAATTATACAGGTTTTACGGCGACGGGTTATTACTTTTGATAAGTGAATGGTTTTTGAAAAGCTTTGTTTTCGCCCACTCACATTTTCTATTTTGCACCCCTCCAGGTTCTAGTAGTAAAGTTTCCATATCGACGAGGATTCTTGGCACTTCCCAGTACATGTGGCTTCTTATGATGGTATAATTGTTATCTTACCTTATTGTACTCTAGTTATGCTCTGTATCACGTGTGTATGGGTCCATACTCGCTCACCGCGCACTCGTGTATTTAGGCACTTCTAGGTTTAAATTTATTCATAGTTTACACATTATCACACTTTATGGCTTCATCACCTTCCAAATGTTGGCCATCACAACTTGATTCGGAGTCCTATTGGACATTCGAGGTTGGGGTGTGTCAAATGTGGTTCAAATTCTCCTTTAGCGAGAATCAAATTTAAGACATCTCGCTTACAAGTGAAGAAGAATACCACTATATCATAGTACTAAGTGGGAATCGTTCCTTTAACTTTATATACAATACAACACCAATTCCCTCCTTAAATAAAAAGTTAAGTTTGACTATTGCAAATAACAATTTGATATCAAATTTTTATAATTAACTACTATGTGGCTTAGTCAACTTTAGGGGTGGCTCGGTACAAGATCCCAAACAAAAAATGGTATCTCGAATCCCAAACCGAAAATTATGGGAAGGGAATTTGAAGACCAATTTCGAATCGAAATTTTAGTAGTCCCAATTTTCAGAATTTCTGAAATGTTTTTGGTATTTTGGGATGGATGGGATTTGATTTTCGTTTTGGACTTTTGGGTTGAAATTTGAGATTTTTAGGTTGTGAGCTAAAATTTGGGCTTTTGGCCTGAAATTTTGTTGCCCACTAATTGAAATGTAGGCTTTTTACCTCATGCCAATTTGAAATTTCATACCAATTGAAATATTGATTGATTCATACCAAGTCAAATTGATATTCCAAAGTTGCAAATTACTTAATTTCATACTTCCATTTTTAATATAGTCTACTATCAAACTACTTAAATTCAACAATCAACATGCATAAAACATATATATATATATATATATATATGTATGTATGTATGTATATATATATATTTTGGTTTTGTTCGGCATTCCCGACCATTGAATATGTAATCTCAATTCTCGTACTGAAAAGTTTGAAATCGGTTAGGTATGAAGTCCCGAAAATTTATGAAATCTCTGTTTGAAATTTTTTTGGTATAGGACCGAAATTTTTTCAATTTGGTTTGGTATTTTAGGGAAAAAACCTTCTAGCTGTAGTCAACTTCCTTGTATTGAAAAAGAGAAGTTAGAACAACATAAATTTCACGTTTGGATTTGAGGATGATCCTTGATAGCTTTTTGACATTTTATTTATTTATTTATTAAAGGAGGGCTTTCTGATTTGATAAACGTGCCTATCCAAATGCAAAAAATATTTATATATTCACGCTATTAGCTTAAAGCTTGTTTAGATTTGTTTTAAAATGATTCAAAATACTTTTTATAAAAATATTTTAAGAATCAATTCTTAATAAAGTGCAAATGAATGTTGGAAAATCACTTCAATTACCTTCTGAAAAAACACATAACTTGCATTTTTTTGCAAAAAAAAAAAAAAAAAATACTTCAAGTGTCTTGAAATTTCAAAAATGTTTTTCCAAATGAGACTTTAGTTGCAAGGTCCAAAGTAATAACAAATTCGTCAACCGTCAAGGTCAAATAGGGTAGGTAGCTTTATAAGGTCATAAATAAGAATGATAATCCTCTCCAGATTCTTTTTGTAAGAATTTTGAGAATTTTCAAATCGTGTCTATTCATCGTATATCGTACGGCTAGAAATCATTTTAAATATTTTTATTTAAAATTAAATATGAACAGTACCTGACAAAAATTGACATCACAATATATGATAAACAGACACGTTTTAAGAATTCCTAGAATCCTCACAAAGAGGACCTGGAGAGCATCCTCATTCATAAATTAATACCTTTTTGTTTTAGGGTATATACAAATTTATTTTATTTGTTCTTTGTTGTACTCATGAATTGAACCATATTAAATAAATTTAAAATTTTCAAAGATTTGAAATATAAGAGTTGTTAAAAGCTTTGGAAAATTGGAGGACCCCAATCTATAAGAGCATTTCTACATATTTTGAAGGGTTTGTTTGAGGTTAAGAGTGGAGCTGGGGGAGTTACTCCTCATGTGAATAGTGAACTGCCATGGTTTCTAAAAAAATCATTCTCCTCCTACTATTCACAATGACTGTTCCTTTTTTTTTTTATATAATTTTTTTTTATGTATGATTCAATTACTTAATGATAATTAATGAATGAGATTAATTTACAATATGTTAATATGATTCCACATGTTCATATTTTACTTTTGGTGTATAATATTATTTGTGGTAAATAGTGTTTTTGGTGTAGAGAGTGAAGAATATGATTGGTATTTATAGGAAAAAATGGGAAATAGCCGTTGGATTTTTATTTTTATTTTCAAGTTTTTTGATGAATGCTTATTTATGAAAAAATCGTGATCGTGAATTGGAGTTACTATTTGGAATTGAAAGGCCATGAGTGCGCCAAGTGGCAAAGAGACATAGTAGAGCAATGTGACAACTTGTCCTTAATTTTATAATTTTATTAATTTTAAACGAGTGATTTGATGAAAATGCTCATAGAGGTAAGGATTTTGGCTACCGTTGGCCATCGGTTAGAGGCATGTAGGGCTCATTCTTTTAGTGTATTTGCGTAGTTCTCAATGATACGATTGCGTAGGCGCAAGGGAAATTGAATTTGGAGCTAAAACGAAGATTTTATGGAACTCAAAACGATAGGGGCATTTTGGGTAATTTCTGCATTGGAGATATGTCTACATTTTTGTACCACACTTGCGTTGACACATGGCAAGATTCCTCATTTTTCTGGGGGTTTCCTTTTCTGTCCCGTGATCTCTCTCTCCCCCTCTCTATTTTCTTCTTCTTCTTTTTCCACTCTTAGTCTCACTCACCTTTACTCCTTCTCCTCCTCTTTTGCCGAGACACACACACACCCACACCTCTACACTTGCAACCACAACAAGGCAACACCCCCACCATCATCCCTTGTAATCCTTGTGAGCCATTGGGCCTAGAAATAGAAGAAAAGTACCTTGAAAGCTACATCCTCGCATTGCACAGTACCATCATTGTGCATCACTCTTCTTCGGTAAATTTTGACCATTTCCGGCCAAGGTAAACCTCGAAATTGGTCTTTATCATTGTAGATCATGTCTAGGATTCATGATTGGTAAGTTTTTGGGTGGTTTTGGTGGTGTAGGAGCTCGGAAAACACGAAGGAAGGTCACTGTTCATGCTGGAAATTTCCAATCTGTGGTAGTTTGGCCACTTTCCAGCCCTTTTTCTTGCCAACTCCGATTTCCATTGGGCCTCCTAAGGGTATGAATCTCTTCTCTACATTTCTAACTTCAAAATGGTTTTTGAATCATCAAGTTAAGTTAAGTATCAAACTAGAAATCAGTTATGAAAGTTGGGAAGAAATTTTCTGGAAATTTCGACTGTGACCATCTGACCATCTTTAGGCCATTTTCTGGCCAATTTTATGGAGTTGTTCTCTACATTTCTAGCTTTAATATGGCTCTTGAATCATCGAATTTGATTGAGAATCGAGCTAGAAATTAGCTCTGGAAGTTGAGATGAAATTTCCCAGATTCTAGAAAACTTGGACCCATGGCCATTTGGCCACTTTCAGACTATTTCCCCGGTCAACTCCAGCCACTATTCGACTTCAAACTGGTACAAACACGTTCCCCACATTTCTAGCTTCTAGTTGGCTTTTGAATCATTGAATTTGGTTGAAAATTGAGCTTGAAATGAGCTCTTAAAGTTAGGGGAAAAACACGAAATAAAATCTGGAAAACTCGTTTATACGTTAATACGTTATACATAATTACATAATGATTTTGTTTCTAGGTGAAACGCATTGCAAGGATCTTCGAAGCCCGCGAGGCGGGTTCGACCGGATGTCATGTTTTGTGAGTGGGCATTTGTTTTCCTATATATATATAATTATTTATTTATTTATATACTGTTTCCAGAAACGTTTTTTTTATTTTTTTTTATATGGAACTACGCTTTGTTTGCAATGTCGTAAATAAGTTACATTTTAAATATTGCATTGTTACACTTGTGAGTTGTATTGTGTGATGCTGCAGAGACTCAGGTAAGCTTCAGGTGAGTATTATGTGATTGAATGGGTTGTATTGCATTGGTATGCACACATTTATTTAGAGCTCATCATGGCTGCACCCTGGTGTTAGTGCTCCAGCCCGAGGCTAGGGCCAACCTTCACGTGATTGTTCACCTCCCGCACTGCACGCTCACCTTGGATCCAAGTTTGGTGTCAGCCTGTCGTACAGACCACAATCGGTGGTTCCGACTCGTAGGTGACCAGTGAATTCTCGCACAACCTTCATGTGATCTTAGCACTTGAGCGTACATATTTATACTCAGGCTGTCGTATAGGTCACACTAGGTGACTCCGACTCGTGTGCTAGCCTAGATTGATGAGCTATAGGTACAGTCGTCCATGTCACATTAAGTGACTCCGACTGGCATACTATTTTATATTGATTTCACGCCTGGCTTACATTTATTATTGCTGAGTCTTATGACATGACATACTTCAGTTTTCATTGGTCTTGTGCATTGGTTTTTATACATACGTAGTAGTATTTTCTGGAAACTATACGGGTTTTACAGTGAGGGGTTAGTACTCTCAGAAAAGATAAATGTGTTTTCTAAAGCTTTGTTTTTGCCCACTCACCCTTCTGTTTTTCGCCCTTCTAGGTTCTAGTAGCAAAGCTTTTGTGCCGACGAGGAATATTGGCAAATCTTGGTGCAAACGAATACCTTTGATGGTATAATTCTGAAGGAAATATTTGTGAAAATAAGTTCATTTGAGCAACATCTATGCACGCAATTAACAATTAAAAGGCGGAATCATGCTTGTATGCACTCAAAACAAAATTTTACCCATGAAATTCTAAGCCTAGTAGTTATGATGAACCAATACTCAACTCAAGATCTAAGAAAAAAAGTTAAGATTTCTTTATACCTTTGAAGCACCTATTTGCTTAGCAAATGTTAATCACCCATGTGAGGGCCTTCTTTCCTTTGTCACCTTACTCCTTGGCTCCATGGATTTGGATGGAAGAATTGGGTTCTCCAAAAGTCACCAAAGTTGGAGACCATTAAGTTTAGATACCAAAGATTGTTAAGGAAGAAGATGAGTGATCATGGAAGAATTAGATGCTAGTAAATTCCCCCATGGTGGTTGGCTTCCTATATAGAAAAAGGAGAGTTTTTGTTCTCTCCAATTTCCTCAAGAAAACCCTAATGAAGAAAAGGCTATAAAGTCACATTTATACCTACCTTCATTGGAGTGGCAAACTTGTAATAAGTTCAAAACCGACTCTCTCTAAGCATGGCTGGCCTCCCTATTTTTAGTGGGTTAATTGCTCATTTTGTTTTAGTTGTCACACAACTTAAACCTTATGTACCTTGTGGGCCAAAACCCTTTTGTGTCCCGAAACCCAAAACTAACTTAAGGCCTAAAACGAACCTTTCATTCTAGATTAATTAGCTTTTAATTAATCCTTGCCATATACAATTAAACTATTTAATTGTCCTTACTCATCTTCATTATATCTTTCAATCATTACCTTAAACGGTGTGAGATCCATTAGGTTCCTTTTAGTGAGGCAGTGGGCGATTAGAACTCTTCAAATCGATTATGAATTGAAACTTACTTTCAATTCTCCCTTTAGTGATTATATACCTTTGGGGCTTCCACAAACCATGAGTGACACCTAGCAGTATATCATGGCTACCCAAACTAATCAGAAGAGGTGGAGAACCTATTCAGTTTAGGATTCCAATGCAATACAGTATTTTTCTAATACAATACTCTTGACCACATTGTTTGGTTTGATAGTTTATTCATGTCTACTATCCAATGTGATTCATTTACTTATATGATTGCCTTGAATGTGATTTGGAACAACTTCCTAAATCTCATTTATACTTTAGCCAGAGATTCTTAATCATATCATAGAGTATTCTTCTTCAAACGGTTTGAAGGTTAGAGATCCCTTGTCGTGCATTCATCTGCCTCTATGACTAAGTGGCTTAACCCTAACTATGACGTGGACACCATCTTATGGAGTGACTTTGACATAGTCAAAGATCAAGGATCTAACCACAAGACAACTATGATGCTTCAGGTCAAAGGACTACTTTGCATTATCCCAACCATGAGTTCTCATGTGACATGAGTATGAGAACTTCTTGTTGATCCCGTTCAGTGGACTCATTCTCTATTGAGCACCTACATGCCTCAGGTCAAAGGATTACTTTACATTATCCTAACCATGAGTTCTCATGAGACATGAGTAGGAGAACTCTTTGTTGATTGCGTTCAGCGGACTCATTCTCTATTGAGCACCTACATGCTTGTCTTAGTGTCAGTCACACCAATGACTCAAGACCAGTCACTCTCTCTAAGAGAAGACATAGTACGTACTAATCTTAATAGACTGTCAATGCCTAATCCAATTAGAAAAGAAATAGACTCAAGGCCTTAAGTTCATGTGAAGACCCAACAGTTTAATGAAGAGAGAGGTGGATTTTCTCTTCCTAACTCACAAAGGAGAATGATGAGCGAAAGTCAGGAGACGTGTTACTAGAATTGACGTGTGTTGAAGTTGACCTGGGAAGGAACACTCTTGGAAGAACAAGCGGCACAATCTTCATGAGAACAACGACGCTCAGCTTTCTAACACCAAAAGGGAAGTGCGCAGTTGCGCTAGGAAAAAGGAGAAGGAAGATTTAGCTATAACGGGAGATGCCTTTCACCTATAAAACATAACTTTTCACCTACAAAAAGGGAGGTTTTAGCCAATACCTGAGGGGGGAAGAGTGTGAGAGGGAGGAGGGAGATTCAAGGTTGCATTGCACCAAGCGCAAACAAACTTGAATCTTAGAGATGACAATTTTCTTACAACCGTAGGTATTCCTCCCAGTTTACTTTGATCTTCGACAGCCAATAGGAGCTCTCTTAGAACCCTAGTAAATCCAAATTATCAAACCTGGAACACCATGCAACCATGCAAAGTTATCTCTCGTGCTAAACCGGTAAACTTTTGGCATCCACAGCATGCCTTACTCAAGCAAGCCATTATTTTCTTAATCATGATGTCTTTGAGCCATTAATCCAACCGAGATACTTCCTAAGACGCACTAATTCTATTGAGGCATCCCAACACTTGGTGTTCAAACGGACTAAGGGAAGTAAAAAACGTAGCCGTCAATGCCCATTTTTAGTTCGGCTAAAAGTCCCCCGACACCATGGTTAGAAAATATGGGTTGAAATGGTTTAAAGAAGATTATTGCAGAAGAAATTGACAGAAAAAATAAAAAAGTTTTATCAATCTTTGAAATTAACCTACCTTTTTGAAATGGTCCATCAATTAGAAAATTGATCACTGTCGTCCTTGAATATGAACGTTGGTGTGCCACAAATCAATATCTTTCTTGTTGTCCAGTTCTGTCAAATTTTATTTTAGTGCGTTAATGTGGCACACAAATGAGTCCCACTAATCTATCTTATAACGCCACTTGGATTCATCATAAACACCAACAATTTTAAAGATTTTAAAACTAAATATGATTGATTTTGTGGAAACACAATAAACTCTTCAAGAGTGTCATGTGGCTATTGAGGTCATTGGGTTCTGGCCCAGTACATGGCCTTAAAGAGGCCCGTATAAGTCTTCTGAGTTCTGATTTCATGTTATTTCATTTCCACTCTAGTTTTATGTAGTCATGTCTATCCTCTAAACACAACCAATTTGAGGATAATTTGTGTCTCATTACTCATTGGGCGGTGTTATCCATACATCATTTTCATTTTCGGTCGTCAGATCGAATGAATTAAAAAAGATTAACGGACAAAAATTAACAAGGATGTGTTAAAAATAAAAATGGGTGTGTGTGAATAGCACTTCTCTTATTCATTGTATATATGTCCTTTCGACTTCCTATTCAACTTCCTCCATCTATAATTTCTGCAGATAATTTGATGAACTGACATGAGAAATTGGATTTTTCATTTGTAAGAAGTAAGAACAAAGAAAAAGTACGTAAAATTTAGAATGGTGTCAATTTTAAGGAGTTGATGAGCTCGCTCCTTATTGCTTTCATCATCTCAATGACCTCAATTTTTAGGAGTACAAATTTAATGCATGCAGGAAAGATATATCCTAACTTGCTTCTTCTGATTGCACTTCCACAACTAATTAAAGATATATCGTTCCTCATTTCCTTATTGCTTTTATCATCTCACCCTCAAGGACTTCATCAATTTTAGGAGTATATTCGTAATATTACTTCTAGGCTTCTACGTTAGCAGGGCCATTGAATTCACACAGAGATTTTTGTATAATATACTCCACACTTGTTGGGTCGTTTTGAGGAAAATATCGGTGTTAAATGATTTTTTCTTTTTAAGTAACAATATATTTACAGTAAGGGATGTCAGAATATGTATAGAACTAGTAATATACGAGATTTGAATATAAGATAGCTTATATACAAGTAAAGAGAAATGCCATTAAATTGTAGTAGTAATTAAAGGTTGGTGTTTAACTAATGGATAATGCTAGGGAAACCAAATTTGCAAATCAAATGATGTGTCACCAAATAAGAGATAAACATGTTAACTGACACTTAATTTATAATTTAATCATCTATAACCATATCATTTGGTTTGCAAATTTAGTTAAAAAATTCGGTCTCCCTAGCTACTCCTTAACTAGTTAATCAGCCTACAATGCATATCGAGAGCTATGTCTGACTATTTATTAGTTTGGTTTTATGAGTTGATCAAATAAGAGAAACTGGCGCATCTTTGGAGGAGCATTTGCAGGTTGTATACCTAATTTTCCTGGGATTAAAAGTGATAAGGTAATATCTGCCTTCGGGCCTTGAAAAAAGGCTTCGTACCATCAATAATAATTCTCAGTTAGAGCATCCTCCTTTTTTGCAACAGTGGGAAAGGGACCGAACACTAGCAACCTATTCAGAGAAAGGAAAAAAAAGAGTACTCTTAAAAGGAGAGCCCGAAAAAGAAAGTGAGTGAAAATGATGCACTACACGCCATTTGGACCCTGGTGCATCGTTGGAGGAGCATTATTTTGTCACGATTTTTTTTTTGGGCTGGGGTGGGGGTATGTGGGATGTGGTGGGGAGAGACTGTGATCAGT